TTACAAATGAACAGATACTGATTAGGGGGGAAAAGCTGATTAACCAGTTGGGGAAGAGAGCATAGAGAAGTGGTTACAGATAAACTAAATAATGGGAGTCTCTTGGGAGCACTGTGAAAGGTGTAACCAGATAAACCTAAACTCCTTGTGGAGAAAGGGAGAAAGGACAAAGCAATTTCATCATATATATATATATATATATATATATATATATATGAGTTCAGTAAAAGAAACCTTATGAAAATCATTGTCTCTCAACAAGGGTGTTTTGAGTCCTGTCTGGGTCCCCTGAGCTGTTAGCTGTGAGCGGAGGCTTCAGCAGGATTGTTTTGGCTTCAGAGCTTCGTGGGCATATCCTCGACTTTCCTGTCTAATTTGCCAATGAGGCGCTTATTTCTAAAGTATCGTGTGATAGCAAGCATCTGTCCATAGGCAGCAAAGTGCTGTGTTAATAGCGCTCTGCCTAATTACTGGAATAAACTCACGCAGAAAAAAAAATTTATATAAAATAACATTTATTCTGCCATCATTGGTGGCAATGAAAACTGGGGTAAACATGTCCCAGAAGAGAAGAGTGGGAGCAGGGCTGGAGCTATAGTACAGTGGGGAGGGTGTTTGCTTTGCACGTGGCCAACCCGGGTTTGATTCCCAGCATCCCATATGGCCCCCCGAGCACCGCCAGGAGTAATTCCTGAGTGAAAAGCCAGAAGTAACCCCCTGTGTATTGCCGGGTGTGACCCATAAAGCAAAGAGAGAGAGAGAGAGAGAGAGAGAGAGAAGTGGGAGCATGGTGGGAGGGCTGCGTTATTCTCCAGAATGGAATGGTGACATTTCTTTCAAGAAGATGCTGGTGCTAAGAGGCCGGTGACAGCTGTTTCTCATCTCTGAGTGACTGGGAGATGCCAGATGGGGCGCTCCACCCTCACACTTCACACAGGGGAGAACAGTGGTTAGCAAAGAGAGAAGAATCAAGTGTGGGGAAAAAAACGTAAAGAGAATTCTTTTTTTTAAAAAAAATTGTTGGTTTCATGTCACACCCAGCAGTGCTCAGGGCTGACCCCTGGCTCTGTGATCAGGCATCACTCATGACGGGTCTTATGGGATGCCAGGGATCAAACCCAGATCAACCACATGCAAAGCAAGCACCCTACCTGCTATACTATCACTCGGGCCTGCAGCATTTATTTTCAACCGCCAACGTTTGGAATCTCCCCAAGTGCCCATTGGTGTAGGAAGAGAGAAGGAAGAAATAGTCTAGACGCCACCGACAAAAATCTAGCTCTTAAAGCAAACAAAGGAAAGAGTGGAAGAACTATTTTGCCATTTGGAACAACCAGTCTGTGTCTAGAACATGCTATGCTAAGAGAAACAAAGCAGAATACATACTGACTTGATGCATATGTGGGAGATAAAGAAACAAAAGCAAACAAAACATAAATTCTTTGACAGGAGCTGTCTGGTGCTTACAGGGAGAAACCAGTAAAGCTGTGGATGGAGAGGTCAGAGCGACAGTACAGCAAGGAGAGCATTTGCCTTGCATGCAGTCTACCTGAGTTTGACCCCCGGCACGCCAGATGGTCCCTCAGGCCCACCATAAGTCATCCCTGAATGCAGGAGAAGGAAATATTCCTGAGCACAGTTGGGTGTGACCAAAAAAAAAAAAAAAGCATGGATGGAAACTGGACTTTGTCTGGGGTCATCATGTTCTGCAGATACAGATTGAAAATAGAATCTCACATACCTGAAATACCAAGCACATCATAAACCAGTTTTGCATCAAGAAATGAGTTTAGGGTGTTTTGTTGTTGTTGTTCGTTTGTTTTGTATGTGGGCCGTGTGGGGGACCATGTGCCCCACTGGAATCTGAACCAGTGTCATGATCAAAACTGCATGCAAGGCGAGTCCCTTAGATTTGTACCAGCTCTCATGCCTCAAGAAATTGAGTTGTGTGTGTGTTTTTTTAATATTAACATATATTCAGAAACAGACCAAAATATTATCAGTGTTTAACTGAGTGGTAACATCAAGCAGGATGAGGGTTTGGCAGTACTACACACCTGATAGTAGTCAGGCTTACTTCTGGCTCTGCTCTCAAAGCACTTAGATCAGTTCAGGACTCACAAGACCGTCGGCAGATAACCAGGCTACTGCTGCATCTCTCAGTACCTCACTGCCACAAGCAACTGGAAGCCACAAAGAACTGCCGCTGTTCACTGATGACCTCCCACATGCAGGGGAACTACTATATTTTGGAGTGTGTGTGGTGGTTTGGCGGTGCTCAGGCATTACTTCTGGCTCTGTGCTCAGGGAACACTCAGGGGGCCATTCGGGGTGCTGGGGATCAAACCTCAGTGGGCCTCTCACAAAGCAAGCGCCCTGCCGGCTGTACTATCACTCCTACCCTTTTCTTCCTTTTGTTTGTCTCTGCACTGTTATAACTTAGTAAACATGTATGTGATCAAAGGAAAACAATGACTCTGTTTACCACAGAAACCCCAGGAAGACGGTCAATGATTCCTAACCTGGAATTCTCTGCCTCCTGCAGGTCCAACAAAGCAGTCCCCACCCGGGTCTCACTGACCACCAGGCACCAGCACTGTCTTGCATGTGGCAAATCCCAGGCACTGCGTATGGGCCCCCTGAGCACTCCCAGGGGACCGCTCCTAAGCACAGAGCCAGGACCAGCCCCGCACCAAACCAGTAAAACCAAGGACTTCCTCCCTGATCTACAGCACTTCCTTGCTTCTTCACAAAACACGTATTAGGTTTGGGGGTTCTGTTTTTGTTTTTTTTACAAAGAGAATCCTTGGGTCAGGCAGTGGAGAAAGCTCTTCAGGTGACAAAGTCTGGAGAAGCTTCAGCTCAGCGCTGAGACCACCCCCTCCCACCACAAGCTCCCTGCTAGAGGGGTCAAGGGGGAGCCACCCCAAAGACAGAGTACCCAAAGGGCGATATCCTGAGCACTGCCAGGAGTGGTTCCTGAGCACAGAGCCAGGAGTAATGCCTGAGCACTGCCGGGGTGGCCCCAAACCACCCCATACACACTCCAAAAAATAGAAGCCCCCGGCATGTGGAAGGTCATCAGTGAACAGCGGCAGTCCTTCGTGGCTTCCAGTTGCTTATGGCAGTGGGGCACCGAGAGACGCAGCAGCAGCCCCATTCTCTGACGACGGTCTTGTGAGTCCTGAACTGATCTAAGTGCCTTAAGACTCTCACTGAAGCCCCCCACACGCCCAGTCTCTGAGGACCCCCTGTCCCCCACTTAACTCAGGGTCTCTTTCCCAGCCTCTAACCTTACCCTGTGTCGGGGTTCTTCCTGCATCTCCCACCCCATAAATCACCTTGACCATGGACCTGACCAGCTCTTTCTGCCTCCTGTGTGTTTGTGGAATGAGTAAGCTTTATGGTTCTGGTTAACTAGCGTATCAGTGGGGTCAGAGTGGTAGGGGTAGGGAAACTGCTGGCGGCAACTGGAATCGATGCTGGGGCCCTGTCCTGTCACAGTTTCTGTCCGATGGGCACTCACTGGTCCAGGGACATGAGGCGTATTTTGGACCGAAACAGCTATCATGGTCTGAACCCCACTCTGGCCCTCATCCTGCCCCGTGTCACACAGCTCCAGAGTGACTGGAGCCAGAACCCTTCAGCGTTTAGCCAAGAGATGTGGAAATCCCCTATCCCGGGAGAAAGGAGGAGCAGACCCCCAGGGGCCACCAAAACTGGTCACGGGCAGATTCTAACTCAATCCACTGAACTCAGGGATGCATCCTGGTCACTCTTCTGGTCTCTGTTTTCAGTCGAGACACATCAAATCCATTGACCCTTGAGGAAGGAAGAAACAGATCTTGGAAAGGGGATAAATATGCATAGCTTCACCCAGGTGAGCTTCCTCTGCCTGCTGGAAAGAGAAAGATTTTATCTGTGCGGGTCCAGGATTACCACAGTCACACGTGCGTCGGTCAAAGAATTCAGTCAGTCAGAAACCAATGATAGATGTTTATTAGGGGACACACAGGTGTGGGGTGGCCCTCGGACAGGCAGCTGCCCATAGAAGGGAGTGGCTATCAACTTTATGGGGAGATGGAGTCACGTGGGGGGCGGGGTCTGATGACAGGACAAATGTGGTCAGGACCCACTGAATCCAGGAGACAATTCTCTTTGATCATGGTGGGGATGCTCTGAGTGGACGACTGGGGTCCATGGAATTAATCAAGGGGAATGGGTTCAACAGTCCCCAAGAGTTGAGTAATTTTCCATCTTATGATCAGTCCCCGCCCCCTTATGAATATGTTAATAAAGGCAGAGGAGGGGAGGGAGAGAGAAGGGCTGTAGAGGGGAGGAGGCCATGGGAGTTCCCTGTCTCCAGGCCCCATTTCCCCTTTGCCTTAGTACCCAGGAAAACCCACAGCCCGGCCCACCCAGGGTCCCAGAGCTCTTGGTTGGGGAAGGGGAAGGGATGTCTCAGAGGGGCCTGAGACATCTCTGAGGGTCCTGAGTCACAGAGGGGTCCCACTTAGCTGGGGCTAGGCAGCCTGGGGGGACGCAAGATTTAGGTGTGACAGGGCACTGAGGAGTGAGGGGTGAGGGAGCAAGGGTAGGGAAGGGGAGATGCGGACTGGATATACGGAGAATCAAGGGTCCAGCAGGGAAAGATTTAAGGAGGGAGGAGGTCCTGGAGGAAAGGGGCGGGGGCAGGCTGCTCCCAGGGGCAGGAAAGGATATGCTTTGGGGGGTACCCGCGGAGAAAGTGGGAGTGGGAATGAGAGAGGCTGAGGCGGGGGGCAGCGCTGACTGAGGCCACAGAAACCTGAGAGTTGAGACAGGAAGGTGGGCTGGGTGCAGAAGCGGTTGGGTGTGAACGGGGCCTCCAGAGTGGATCCCCCAAGGGGGAAGAAGAACGGGCTGCGGGGTCTGGGTTTGGCCAGGAGAAGCCAGAGACATCTGTAGGCACTCTGGTCTTGACCCGGCTTGTCAGAATCGGGCTGGTGCCGCTGCAGGGCTCACAGCCAAGAGGACACCACCTCCGGTCTCTGGATGTGTACCTGTTTTGGTGGACAGGAGTGAGAAGGGCCCCTGGCTCAGCCTGAGCTCCGGCCCCGCAGAAGACAGAGGAGTGAGGCCTGACCTCGCCCCCCTTTGCCCTTTCACCTTCACACTGGTGTCCACTGTTTCCAGATCCACCTGGATGTTTCCCTCCGTGCCTAGAGGGAGAAGGGGGGATGGTAAATGAGTGGGTTGGGGGCCCGGGACTCGGGGCACGGGGCTGCCTGTCCCAGGGCACCATGGAGAGCCCAAGTCCCTCCCCTTTCCTAGGAGCTGGACTCACCTGCTCGCTCATGCTCAAAGCCCAAGTTGGTAAATGTCCTAGTGAATCTCTCATCAGAGTCATCAAACCAAATCGAATCGTCTTCCCGGAATCTGCATCGGGCAGCACGCATCAGGCATGACTGCCCCATAAGGGGACACCTTTGCCGTCCCCCTCCCCCGCCAGGGCCGCTCCATCCTTGTCCCCATGCCGCACCTGTGGCTTGCCCTCCGCTTCTGCACCACGTAGAAGCCCACGGTCGTTCCCAGCAGCAGCAGCAACACGGCTCCAGCCCCCGCCAGGCCGCCAACCAGCGCCCTCCAAGGCATGGCCACCTCGCAGCGTGGGCCCGAGTACCAGTGCGTGGAGGAGGAAAAGCAGCTGGTGGAAGGGACACAGGTCACCGACCTCCGCACCACCAGGGTCCACTGGGACAGTGGACTCACTGTACACCTGCTGCAGCGGGCTGGGGAATAGGGCGTGTGGTGGGGCCCCAACTAGGTCCAGGGGATCTGCTGGGCAGGATTCCAGGAAGGGGGCCTGGCCTTTGGTCCAGGGCAGGGCTGCAAGCTGGTGGGGGCAGGGCCTGAGCTGGGGGAGGGGCTCTTTGTCGTGTGGGCGGGGCCCTGGGCGGGGCTCCTCCAACCCATGGGCGGGGCTCACCGGCAGGTGGGTCCGCTCTTCTCCAGGATGCACTGGCCTGAGTTGCAGTCGATGGTGTTAGGCAGGCCTGCAGTGCAGTTGGTAACGCAGCGGAGCTTATTGTTCTCCTCCAGGGGGAAGTAGAATTCCTCATAGCCTTCAGCAGCAGCTCGGCGACAGAGGTCTGGGGCATGGCAGGGGTGGGGGTGCGGGGGCAGCGAGACAGAGACCTCAGTCACTTGGGGGCCTGGCAGTGTGATGAAGACTCATCTCGGGGTGGATGTGGTGGGAGAGCCCGGCTCCACCACCCGCGCCCTCTTTGGGCGGGTGCTCAGCTGGAAGCACCGGAGAGGGCGTCTGGCCTGAGCCACATCACCTATCTCCCTCAAAAGCGTTCCTTCCCAGGGGCCGGAGAGGTAGTATAAGGGCTAGGGCACTTGCCTTACATGCGACCAACCCAGCATCCCACACAGTTCCCCAACTCATTCCTGAGCACAGTGCCAGGAGCAACCCCAGAGCACTGCGTGGTGTAGCCCCAAAATAAACAAAACCTCTCCCCACCCCACCCCCAAACTCCGGTGCGTGGGCAATCCATTGTGAGAGAATTCAGGAGTTCCTAGGGACCCCTCCCCCTCACCTTTATAATCCGGCTTGAAGACCGCGTTATCCACCTGGATGGAGTCAGGCTTAAAGCACAGGGCTGGGGGACACAGTTGGAATTGGGGTTGTCAGGGGTCCGTGGCCAGGGAAACAGGGTAGGTACAGGGAGGGGCAGAGGTAAAGTGTGGGGGTGCCTGGGAAGACCTCCTTCATTTCTGTCAAATAATCAGGGGCTTCCACTTTCCTGGAAGTTGAGTGGTACTCTTGGGGGTCTCCGCTCAGTCCCCCAGTCCTGGTGAGCTGGCTGTGGACCTATTCCCCATCTGCCCATTTGCTGGCAGTGCCCTGCAGGGGTCATCTGGGTCCTGGCACTCACTCTGGTTGCTCTGGCAGCTGTTGGGGTCCTGGGTGGCACCATGGAGCTCCTTTATCAGAACCTCCTTCACTTTCTCATATTTCTCACTCAGCTGGGTGCTGAAGGGCAGCTTCAGTAGGATGACGTAGTCCACCACGATGCTGCCCGCTCTGAAAGTCGGGGGCATCAGGGGTCATAGGTCCTGGGAAAAGCATCTCCAGGACCTACCACCAGTGCCCAGAAGCGTCAGGTGTGGTGGTCACAGGGGTGAACTGAGGTCTGAGACACATGCTCAGAAGAGCCTGCCAGCACCCCTGGCACTCAGGGAAGGCAAGACAGGGGGTGGCGGACATGGTCAGCATCAGGAAGCCCTCTCCAAGGCAGGTCTCAGGCTCCCGCCAGCCAGAGAGAGGCCCATCACGGCGTCTGGACACCAGGGTTCCCCTGGCCTCACACATGGCTTCCCTGCCCATCCCATGCCTTCTGTTTCCTTACAGTGCCCTGGAGGGCTAGGGGGCTTCCCTCTCCCAAAGAGATGGTTCCAGAAGGTGATGCAGAGACTCTGATGGGCCAATGTCCAGGGCACTGCCCCCCTCTGCCCCTCCTTATGGATTCTGGTGGTTCCTGATGCAAGGAATGCAAGGATGGCTTCTCTGGCCTTTCTCCACACCCATCCCACCCCACCCCTGTAAACACACACACACACACACACACACACACACACACACACACACACGGTCCCCAGAGTACCCCTACCTCAGGGACTGGATCTTCACACCCTCAAACTCCGGCACATTTTTGTAAACCATCTTCATCTGAAATACCAAGAATCCCTGCTCTCATGGTTGAATTCCCCGGCCCCCAAGGGACCCCAGCTTGCTCCAGAGGAGGACTCAGGAAGCCCCTTTGCCCCCCTCACCTGTCTCTGGAAGGAATTGCTGAAGTCCTCGTAAGCCTTGGATGTGGTATCATTGAGGTCCTCAGAGAAGTCCTGGGTTACAGACACCTCCATCCCTACCTCAGCTTCCACAGTATCTGTACGAGGCATCACAGTTTTCTACTCCTACCCTCCTCTGCCCCCAACCCCTGGGGGGGGCGCCCCAATCCTTGCTCCCTGAGGATCGACAGAGCAGCAAGATGGACATGGAAGTGGTTTCTGGGCTGAGTTGTCTGCATGTGAGAGAAAGCTTGGAAATTGGGGGGTCCCAGTTGGCACCTGTCTGTTCAAGTGAGATTCAGCATAATGGGGCCCAAAGGTGCCATCCACACACACATCCCCACCAAACTTGTCGAGGATATTCGACCCTGTAAGGCAAGGAGGAATCTGGCCCAGAGCAACAGTCCAGTGGAGAGGACATTTGCCTTGCACATGGCCAACCTGGGCTCGATCCCTGGCATCCCATATGGTCCCCCAAGCACTGCCAGGAGTGATTCCTGAGAGCAGAGCCAGGAGTAACCCCTGAGCATTGCCGGGTTTGGCCTGAAAGCAATAAAAAAAACAAGGAGAAATCAAGGTTGTTGGTGGAAGTGGGGGGTGGGGAGGCGGGGGGTAGCATGGCAGGGAAACAATAGAATTATGAGAATCTTTTCCAGTAGAGAAGATATACAAGGCAGAGAGGTCAGGGGTCATGGGAGAAAACCAGATGGCAAGATGCGCCATGGCTGACTCTAAGAGTGGAGATTGCTGACCTGGGGACAGGCAATAGACACAGAAGGTTCCAGAACAGGCAAAGAAAATGCTTCTCATCAGAAGAAGAGAGGAAGCAAGGAAGTCAGTGCCACTGAGCTCAGCCTTCACAGAGAGTCAGTGCCCCTGGCTTCCCCAACAGTGACAAAAAAGTGTCTCAGTTTCAGGAGCCCAGAGGAAGAGGCAGCACCTCCAGGACAAGAAGCAAAGGAATGGGGGGCTGGGAGTGAAGGTAGGAATGCAGAAGTATGCAGAGAGGCAGCAAAGGGCCTGGGCACCTGTACTCCACCCAGCTACACAGGGGGACACCGTCTCTGCACTTACCCAGCACCACCTCTTCCTTCGCCAGTTCGCAGCGAGAGCCATATAAGGTGGCTGGACACTGGCACTTTTTGCCGTCCCATTGACCCCCATTCTCACACCGGCTCTCATTAAGGTCACAGCGGTCCCCGGAGAAATGCGGGGGACAGAGGCAGTGACCCTGCATCCAGGTGCCGCCGTTGTCACAGGTACCTGGACCACACAACCACAGAGAGCAAGTCAGGAGTCAGCCCCCACCCCAAAGGGGCAAGGGGTCATTTATCAGGGGAAGGAGGAGGGGGAACAGGCTCCTGAAGACCTACCTGGGGTAGTTGTCGGAGAAGGGGTCATGGTGGTGGTGGGTGGCCTGGGCGTGGTGGGGGTCTGAGTGGTCACTGGGGTGCTGGTGGTGAGAGATGTCCAGTCCACGGTGGTAAAGCTGCCACTGGGGGAGCCACTCTCGAGATGGGAAGTAGAGGAGGTGGAACGGTCCAACACGGTGGTGTCGGTGGTGGAGCTAGGGGTGATGGCCCTTTCAGTAGTAGAGGTCAGAACTGACACAGGGGCAGTGGGAGTGGAGGTAACAGCACTGTCTGGGTCCACTTCGATACAGACAGTGGTGGGGACGGTAGGGACAATGGTCACCGATATAGACTCCGGACAAGGGGTGGTGGAAAAGATGCTGATAAAGGGGGTCGTGATGGTCTGAGTCGAGCTGGAGCTGAAGAATGCCCTCACTGGAGTAGTTCTGGGGGTGGTGGTCATGCTGCCAGAGCTGCTACTAGACAGGAAGGCAGCGGTGGTCGTGGTAGGTGAGGAAGTTTGGCGAGGGAAGGAGGTTGTGGTGGCAACAAGGGTGGAAGAAGCAGAAGTAGAAATAATGGTACTGAATGGCGTTGTGATGGCACTTGAGCGGGTGGTCAGTGGGACAGACGCTGGCATAGCAGACGTGGTTGCAGTGGTTCTAGGAGTGGACGGCTTGGAGGTGATGGCAATAGAGGGGGGGAAAATGGGGGAAGGAGTTGGAATGTCAGTGGTAAGACTGGTCGGGGTTGTGCTGTTGCCTGCGCTGGCAGTGCCAGTGGGCAACATGTGGGAAGAAGTAGTGGGAAAGGTACTCAGGCCAGTGGTGCTGGAGGTGATGATGGGCATGAGAGAAACACTGACAGGAGTCATAGTGACGGCAGTGCTCTCTTTAGAACTGCTCCTTTTAGAGGAAATAATGGTGCCAGTTGAAGAAATGAGAGGATCAGTGCTCATCATAGTCAGGATTGTTTTTTCAGAAGTAGTAGATGTGGCAGTGTTGATGCTGTTAGGAGTGGAAACAGATGTGGTGGTGGTTTTGGTACTCGTGGCGATGGTAGTTGTTGACGTCAATGTCCTAGAGGAAGACTTGGTTGTGGTGGTGTTTGGGGTAGTTGGACTAACTGTTCTGGCTTCAGTACTAATGGTTTTGGGAGAAGTGATTCTGGTGGTGGTGAGAACAGGTGCAGTGCTACCTGAGAGGGTGGTTGTGGGGCTAGTGTTTATGGAACTTGTTGTTGTGGTGGTCTGGGATGTTTTACTAGTTGTTGTCGATTCTGAAGAAGTATTCATGAGAGTGGTGGTGATGGTAACAATGGGGGTAGTGACTGTGGTGGTACTTTTGGGGTTGCTGCTGATGGTAGTTGTTGATGCAAATGTTGTAGTGGGAGACTTGGTAGTGCTTGGGGCTTTTGTACTGGCTGTTGTGGTTTCAGTGCTACTGGTTTTGGCAGTAGTGACCCTGGTAGTGGTGATAACGGGTGTAGTGGTAGTTGGGAGAGAGGTTGTGTGGCTAGTGTTTATGGTAGTTATTAATGCAGACGTAGTAGAAGGAGACATGGTTGTGGTGGTTATGGATGTTTTACTGGCTGTTGTTGATAAAAGGGAAGTGTGTGTGGCAGTACTAATCCTGGTGGTAGTGGTAGGCACAATGGGGGTGGTGAGAGTGGTGGTACTTGTGGGACTGGTGTTGATGGTAGTTGTTGATGCAGATGTTGTAGAGGGAAACTTGTTTGTGGTGGTGTTTGGGGTAGTTGTACTCACTGCTGTGTCTTCAGTGCTAATGGTTTTGGCAGGAGTGATCATGGTGGTGGTGAGAAGAGGTTCAGTGCTAGCAGAGAGGGTGGTTGTGGAGCTAGTATTTATGGTAGTGGTGGATGCAGTTGTCGTAGAAGGAGACATGGTTGTGGTGGTCAGGGATGTTTTACAGGCTGTAGTTGATGAATGGGAAGTGAGTGTGGCAGTACTGATCCTGGTGTAAGTGGTAGGAACAACTGTGGTGGTGACTGTGGTGCTACTTGTAGGACTGGTGGTGACGGTAGTTGTTGAAGCAAATGTTGTAGTGGGAAACTTGGTAGTGGTGATGTTTGGGTTAGCTGGACTGGCCACTGTGATTTCAGTACTAATGGCTTTGTCAGTAGTGAACCTGGTGGTGGTGGTAATGGGTGTAGTGGTAGTGTAAAGAGTGGTTGTGTGGCTAGTGTTTATAGTAGTTGTTGATGCAGTTGTCGTAGAGAGAGATGTCGGGGATAATTTACTGGTTGTTGTCAGTTCAGGGGAACTATTTGGGGCAGTACTGATTCTGGTGGTGGTGGTGGTGGTAAAAACTGGGGTGGTGAGAGTGGTGGTACTTCTGGGACTGGTGGTGATGGCAGTTGTTGAAGCAAATGTTGTAGTGGGAAACTTGGTAGTGGTGGTGTTTGGGGTAGCTGTACTGGCCGTTGTGAATTCAGTACTAATGGTTTTGTCAGTAGTGAACCTGGTGGTGGTGGTAACGGGTGTAGTGGTAGTGGTGAGAGTGGTTGTGTGGCTAGTGTTTATCATAGATGTTGATGCAGTTGTCGTAGAGAGAGACGTCTGGGATAATTTACTGGTCGTTGTCAATTCAGGGGAACTATTTGGGGCAGTACTCATTCTGGTGGTGGTGGTGGTAGTGGTGGTGGGAAAAACTGGGGAGGTGACTGTGGTGCTACTTGTGGGACTGGTGGTGATGGTAGTTGTTGATTCAAATGTTGCAGTGGGAAACTTGGTAGTGGTGGTGTTTGGGGTAGCTGTACTGGCCGTTGTGACTTCTGTACTAATGGTTTTGTCAGTAATGAACCAGGTGGTGGTTGTAACGGGTGTAGGGGTAGTGGTGACAGTGGTTGTGAGGCTAGTGTTTATAGTAGTTGTTGATGCAGTTGTCGTAGAGAGAGACATCGGAGATAATTTACTGGTCGTTGTCAATGCAGGGGAACTATTTGGGGCAGTACTCATTCTGGCGGTGGTGGGAAAAACTGGGGAGGTGACTGTAGTGCTACTTGAGGGACTGGGGGTGATGGTAGTTGTTGATGTAAATGTTGTAGTGGGAAACTTGGTAGTGGTGGTGTTTGGGGTTGCTGTACTGGCCGTTGTGACTTCTGTACTAATGGTTTTGTCAGTAGTGAACCTGGTGGTGGTGGTAATGGGTGTAGTGGTAGTGGTGAGAGTGGTTCTGTGGCTAGTGTTTATAGTAGTTGTTGATGCAGTGGTCGTAGAGAAAGTCGGGGATAATTTACTGGTTGTTGTCAGTTCAGGGAAAATATTTGTGGTAGTACTGATTCTGGTGGTGGTGGTGGGAAAAACTGGGGAGGTGACTGTGGTGCTACTTGTGGGACTGGTGGTGATGGTAGTTGTTGATGCAAATCCTGTAGTAGGAAACTTGGTAGTGGTGGTATTTGGGGTTGCTATACTGGCCGTCGTGACTTCGGTACTAATGGTTTTGTCAGTAGTGAACCAGGTGGTGGTGGTAACGGGTGTAGTGGTAGTGGTGAGAGTGGTTGTGTGGCTAGTGTTTATAGTAGTTGTTGATGCAGTTGTTGTAGAGAGAGAAGTCGAGGATGATTTACTGGTTGTTGTCAGTTCAGGGGAACTATTTGGTGCAGTACTCATTATCATAGTGGTGGTGGAAAAAACTGGGGAGGTGACTGTGGTGCTACTTCTGGGACTGGTGGTGATGGTAGTTGTTGATGCAAATCCTGTTGTGGGAAACTTGGTAGTGGTGGTGTTTGGGGTAGCTGTACTGGCTCTTGTGACTTCAGTACTAATGGTTTTGTCATTAGGGAACCTGGTGGTGGTGGTAACAGGTGTAGTGGTAGTGGTGAGAGTGGTTGTGTGGCTAGTGTTTATAGTAGTCGTTGATGCAGTTGTCGTAGAGAGAGACGTTGGGGATAATTTACTGGTCGTTGTCATTTCAGGGGAACGATTTGGGGCAGTACTCATTCTGGTGGTGTTGGTGGTGGTGGTGGTGGGAAAAACTGGGGAGGTGACTGTGGTGCTACTTGTGGGACTGGTGGTGATGGTAGTTGTTGATGCAAATGTTGTAGTGGGAAACTTTGTAGTGGTGGTATTTGGGGTAGCTGGACTAGCCGTTGTGACTTCAGTACTAATGGTTTTGTCAGTAGTGAATCTGGTGGTGGTGGTAACGGGTGTAGTGGTAGTGGTGAGAGTGGTTGTGTGGCTAGTGTTTATAGTAGTTGTTGGTGCAGTTGTCGTAGAGAGAGACGTCGGGGATAATTTACTGGTCGTTGTCAATTCAGGGGAACTATTTAGGGCAGTACTCATTCTGGTAGTGGTGGTGGTGGTAGTGGTGGTGGTGGTAGTGGGAAAAACTGGTGAGATGACTGTAGTGCTACTTGTGGGACTGGTGGTGATGGTAGTTGTTGATGCAAATGTTGTAGTGGGAAACTTGGTAGTGGTGGTGTTTGGGGTAGCTGTACTGGCCGTTGTGACTTCTGTACCAATGGTTTTGTCAGTAGTGAACCTGGTGGTGGTGGTAACGGGTGTAGTGGTAGTGGTTAGAGTGGTTGTGTGGCTAGTGTTTATAGTAGTTGTTGATGCAGTTGTCGTAGAGAGAGAAGTCGGGGATAATTTACTGGTTGTTGTCAGTTCAGGGAAAATATTTGGAGTAGTACTGATTCTGGTCGTGGTGGTGGTAGGAAAAACTGGGGAGGTGACTGTGGTGCTACTTGTAGGACTGGTGGTGATGGTAGTTGTTGATGCAAATGTTGTAGTGGGAAACTTGGTAGTGGTGGTGTTTGGGGTTTCTGTACTGGCCGTTGTGACTTCTGTACTAATGGTTTTGTCAGTAGTGAACCTGTTGGTGGTGGTAACGGGTGTTGTGGTAGTGGTGAGAGTGGTTGTGTGCCTAGAGTTTATAGTAGTTGTTGATGCAGTTGTCGTAGAGAGAGACGTTGGGGATGATTTACTGGTCGTTGTCAATTCAGGGGAACTATTTGGGGCAGTACTCATTCTGGTGGTGTTGGTGGTGGTGGTGGTGGGAAAAACTGGGGAGGTGACTGTGGTGCTACTTGTGGGACTGGTGGTGATGGTAGTTGTTGATGCAAATGTTGTAGTGGGAAACTTGGTAGTGGTGGTGTTTGGGGTTGCTGTACTGGCCGTTGTGACTTCTGTACTAATGGTTCTGTCAGTAGTGAACCTGGTGGTGGTGGTAACGGGTGTAGTGGTAGTGGTGAGAGTGGTTATGTGGCTAGTGTTTATAGTAGTTGTTGATGCAGTTATCGTGGAGAGAGACGTTGGGGATAATTTACTGGTCATTGTCAATTCAGCGGAACTATTTGGGGCAGTACTCATTCTGGTGGTGGTGGTCGTGGTGGGAAAAACTGGGGATGTTACTGTAGTGCTACTTGTGGGACTTGTGGTGATGGTAGTTGTTGATGCAAATGTTGTGGTGGGAGACTTGGTAGTGGTGGTGTTTGGGGTTG